TTGTGGGCGCAGCCGTATGACTCGGTGCTTCCCTGGACTTCAATTTCGCCAGGACCATCTTCCAAAGTGAGCTCGTCGTAAGGGGAGAACACATTCTTCAGCTTCGTTCCCGACTTGTAAGGGGCCAATAACGCGGTATTCCGATTCTTGCAGTCACCGCCGTATGTTTTAGTCTGGTTGTCATTATGATACACAAGCCAAATACTGTTGTTGCCCTTAGACGCCTCTGTCTGGACCCCGGGGAAGTAGCTTCGCAAGACCGACCACAGACCAGTCACTGTGGGGGTGGTTGATGAACCAGGAAGATACACATCCTTAGTAAGCTGGGAGAGGGTCTGGAGATAAAAGCCATCATTAGCAACGGGATAGTGCTCCCGGATTTCGAACATGCGCTTCATGATATTGCGAAGTGGGTGAGCAGGATTGCGCTGGTCGTAAGTGACGGTAATGTCGTGACAGCCGTGCAGGCCTCTTTCATTTGGGAAGTTGTAGAATTTAGTCGTATTCAAGTTGAAGCAGCCATGCGTCCACCATGCGGTCTGGTAGGTCATCGGCTGTCGACCAAAGAGATAGTTTGTTGCAGTGGCATCGAAAACATACATATCCTGCTCCTCGCCCCACAGAATGAGGGGAATGCCAGGGAGCTCCAGTGTGACAATGAAAAGGCCCAGAAGATACTTCTCCGTGCCGTTTTTGATCGCGGGCCAGCGAAAGTTATCTTGATTCGACACGCCATACATATGCCTCGGGTCGAGTTGGCCGGTGACGGGGTTTAGGAAATCGTTGGACACAAGCATCCCGTTCCATGCCTCAATGAAATCCGTAGGCAAGTCGAAGCCAGCAACAAGGTTACCGTCCATTCCCAGGAAACGGGTCATCGAGCGGTAGATAGTATAGTGGAACGCGGCGGAATCCAACGCCTGGTGGCCGTCCTCTCTGAGAAAGTATTGAGCGTCTGAATCGTTCTTCAGTTTGACAGCAGCACCCGCGGACTTAGGCCACTGATTAGGCTGGCGCCCACGACCCAGATAGAGACTGCCGAAGGTATTGCCAGATGTGATCTCGCCAGGTATGAAGAAATTATGCTTGCCATATTTTTTCGCACATTCGCGGAATGCGGCGGACATTTCACCCAGGGGCTCCAGGGTCGCCTGAACAGCTTTGTCATAGCGGAAACCATCGATATCCAAACTGGCAATTTGAATGCAGTAATGCCTGGTGATGATATCACGCACGGGCTTGTGCCATTCACGCAGCCGATCTTGCACCGAGGCGAACTTGGTGAGCTGGCGCTTCCAGTCAGGGAAGTTGCCAAATGCCTCTAGTTCTCCATACTGATCAAAATCACTATTATAGCAACCCTTCAATTCCTCAACCCCGCCGGACGCCAACGGAAAGCCAGTCTCATTCCAGAATTTCGGATAGTCACAAGTCTTGTTGTACTCGTTGCTGAACTTGAAATCGGCATACTGTCGATCCGTGATCCACTCAACCTCATATTCGTCTGGCCGGAAATCGGCTGAGGTGTTGAGGTGGCCTTTGAAACCGATCAGGTTGCTCAGGCTGCATATGAAAGTAAGCTTGCGGTAATACAACATTTGCCGGGGCATACACTTACGTTGCCAGCGTATTGTCCATGATCACATACATATCACGGTTGTGAATCTCGGTGATGGTCCGTCTCCAGTCTTCCAGTGTGCCATGGTGCATGTCCAGCAGAGTCGTATCGACCGGCGAGTAGCCATCGTAGGCCCAAGGGAGGTTCATCAAGCCTGTTCCAGCAAAGTAGATAGCCTACATATGTAAGTAACAAATCAGACACGAAAGCGGTTTCAAACGCACCTTGAAACCCATGCCCCTGATATAGTCCAGCGTATCAATCAGCCCAACCAGATCCCCTCCATGACGCATCTGGTTGGAGTTCAATACATGCTCGAAAGCCGTACCGTTGATATCGTCATTTGTTGGATCACCGTTGGCGATGCGGTCCAGGAAGATCGTGTAGACGGGGAAGCGCCAGTTGTCCGGCGAAGGGTGGTATTTATGATTTGGCCATTCTCCCCAGTAGTCAATCGGCGATTCCGCCGATCTGTTTTCGTTCAAGTTATAATCAACGAGCGACTCGGTATAGGGCCAACACAGTGCACTGACGCTCAGCAATGACAGGATGAGCGCGGCCGAGCGCTGCGTCTCCGTGAACATTTCTGAAGTTCTGGAGTCGTGAACAGAGTCAGTCGATCATGCTCTGAGATGCGGAAGAGCCAGAGGAAGGATGGTAAAAAAACGAAAGACAAGAGAACGAGTGGTCTGTCAACTCAGACGAAGAATGACACTGGAGTTGGAACAGCGGGGAGAAAAGTCACCCAGCGCTGAGCAGGCTGCGTCCAGACTATCCACTGTATGCAGGTGGCCATTGTCTCACTAAAACTCTTCCCAGTCTCCATACAATGACGACAGACCGGTGTCTCAATAATCAAACGACCTGAGACATCTGGAACAGTTCCACAGCGGTGGGGTAGCAGTGGGCTGCCAACCACGCGCCACGACATCACTTCGACAATTTTTGCGTGGTTATTCTGGGAAATTCTTCAAATCGGAGCCTTAGTTGGCGATATTAAGTCGTATCTGCAGGTGTGTGGACTTCTCTGGGCTTGTCTGGAGGGGTCACTAAGATTCTGTAAGAAGCCACTGCACGATTACGAAAGACACAGTAAACATCCTTATCATGTGGTCTAGATATAGACTGCAAAAACTTCAGTACTAAGCAGTATCTTTTTCCTCGAGAACAACATCAACTATCATGTTACTCATCGAATACACGGTATCACTCCTTGTGCATTCTCGTGTTAACCCAGCTGGCTAATATTATGATCAAGATTACAATTTGTGAGAGGGCCCGATCGCGATACTGTCTTGGTGGGGCTTGAACGGCCTCCAAGCCCAATGAGCAGTACTGTACGGTATCTACAAGATAACGGGGCTAAGCCAACCCGATCGACCCGCCATTCGCCTTAGTGAAGCAGTTGTTATCAAGGCCAAGCAAGAAAGCAGAAAATTCTAGCATAGGCCCGAGTTTTCGCCTATTTAGTCGAAACAAGCAACGGCTCCGTTGTGGAACTCCCACTCGGCGTGTGCATCCCGTGCCGCGGTTATATATATCTCAGGGCCCCGTAAGTGGCGTCGACCTCCGACACCTAGCCTACGATCTTCCAAGCTAGACCAGTCGCCAGGCCTATGACTGACGACGGAATTGCTGGATGAACACAACGACGGTCCCGTCCGAGAAATCCGACACCCGAACCAGCCGAGCACATCATTTCCTTTTCAGGTAACAGGGCAAATAATCACAATAGGCTAATCAATGTGTAGAGTGTAGAGAGGTACGTACTACAGAATAGATATCAACATGAGTTACCACCTGGTGCACTTCGAGGACAACCTTACCTAGAGAGGCCACCAGCACAGGTGGATCAAGGACGATCCGGAAACACCAATAAAAAAGTGGTCTGGAATAGTATCCCGACATTCAATAACAGTTATGCTCATTGTGTACGACATATTTCCAGTAACAATAGAGTGTTGTCGCAGACTGCTTTCGGATGTCAGAATTCTATAGAGGGCTGGATATGCATTCAAGGTAAGAACCTTGATTATCATTGCTTCAAGTGGGCCCATTCTGAGGAGGACCAGAGATCGCACAGACAGCCACAGACATTAACATGGCAGGATATAATGTCAACCACGCAAAGGGACCAGTCCTTTCTGGGTTGACTAATTATAGATATTGCTAGTTAGATCCTACCATGCTTTGATCTACCATCTACAGAAATTTCTTAGAATTTTTATACCATTCTTACTGATTTAACATACTTCTAATTTAAATTAGTTAGGTTAGATCGCCAGGCTACTAGAATTAGAGATTCATTCTTATTTATTCTGCGTATATGCATCCAATGATTTCTAGAAATCAAACCAGCACTTCAGCTCAGAGTGGGGACTGTTAAGGCTGTTACTGGGGGAGGTCACATTTCACAAGAGAATGAGCTCAGAGAGTATTATTGCTGCCTAGGTCATGGTATGCATTCAGCCAGACAACCCTTGCTCAAGTACCTATAAACTCATAAAGGGAATGGAGCTAAGGGGACAGACCCTTCCGATGTAAGACCTCCTAATCAGCAGCATACTCACTTCCAACTTTATATCAACCACCCTAGCCATTGTGCTTCTTAAGTCTACAAAGAGAGCAATGTCGGGTATTGACCCGGACAACGATCTTCCCTGGCGGACACTGCCCGTAGAAAGCACTGGCAGGCTTTGTAGAAAATCATCAAGACCTAAACCAACATCTTGTTATGTCAAGGTTCTTTCATCCTGTTGGACTTTGTCAAGCTGCATCTGTTAAATCGATCCGTCATCGATTACCTTGCCTCTATGTAGTGTCGAAGATTGGACTAACTCATGCGATTTAAGCTGTTACTGATACAAATAATTGGGTATACTATATGGGTACTTGAATTAATTCTGAGAAGGGGGTTTCTACGCCGGAGAATGGGTTGGTAGTCCAGCTGCTGCAACAGGCGCAGGGAGTATTATAAGCTCTATCAACCTCACAAATCACTGGATGTTTACTACAACAGACTTTTGTAGTTCTTCCCTCTCTTAAAAGCCTCTGACTGGTTATTTGAAAGTAACCTATAGATCAACACGAATGTCGTTATGGTCACTGTCATCTTGGTTAGGATCTACTCATAAACATATGTAATTGGTTTCTGATCTTCATCAATTTATGGCTTTAGATGGTTATCGAAGTATCAACGAGCGTGTTTGGTCTCTTTTCAAGATGGGACTCCGGGCGAACAGTTTTATCCTGTCTGTCTCCGTCTTATTCTGCTTCTAAATGCCTTGAAAACCTACACCTACATCGTCTTCAGCTACCTTTAAAGACAAAGACACAAACGACAGTCACCCTTTGCTTGCCACAGTATCAGACGGCACGTCCGCTACTCAGTCAGCCCGAGCAGCCATCTCAACCCATTGACACAATCTTCTTGCGCTTGTCTCGACACCTCCAATTGAGGCGCATAAACCCAGAAAATATGTGGCAGCGACTTCGACTTGTTAGACATTTCTCCTCATAGTACCTATCGAGCAAAGGCATACCTTGTAGAATGAGACCCGCACCTCAATGTCTGCGTTCTGAAGACCTCGCACATAGCACACTGCGTCGTCGCGGAGGATATCAACATCACAGATCTGGACGTACGTCTTTGGCAGTCCGTCAAATCTGCCCCAGAGAGGATAAGCCTCGGGGTGTGTTCTCCCTGCACTTGGGACCCCAAGTAGATCTGGAGGGACGTTAACAACCGTACAAACCAGCTTTTCATTCCACACGAACCATGATTCTCCGCCATGTCTTGTCTGTCAAGCTTCTCCGTCTCCAGCTTCTCAGTCCACGACTGGTGCAAATCCCTGAAACAGGGTGGGATCAGAGCCGCATCCGTGCCACGTACAGTCACCGGAGCGCGGAGGAGGACTCCGCTGAGAGTGACGCCAGTTACCTTCTTCTGCTCTCGCATCCAGTCTCTCGCCTTCTGCGAGACAATGGCGGCGAGCTGTCCGCCTGATGACGTCCCACTGATTACGACCCTGACCAAAGAGCCGTGCTCCGGCAGGAGGGTGGAGAGGTTGGTTACTATGTACTCAAAAGCATCCCATCCGTCGTTGATCGGGACAGGATACTGATACGCGGGGCTAAGCCGATACTCGACGCTGATGACAGTGCTGGGTCCACCTAGTGCCATGTGCCTGCACGAGACTTTGTTCTTCGTCAGCTATTTTTCCCTGGGCTTGTGAGTAGGTCACATACTATCTTCCGTGTCCAGAGAGCCATGCACAAAGCCTCCAGAGTGGTAGAATATGACAATCGCATCGGATGAGCGGTCTCTGGCAGTGTAGATACGAATAGGGATCCGATGATTGTCCCTGGCTGGGACAGTCGTGTCAAAGCTTGATACTTGTTCGGCAAGGACACGACCTTCTGGGGAAGAGAGGAAACGCTCGTTTCTGCTCTCTTCGTCATGGCTGACTGTGGGATTCTGCGAGAGAAACGCAGTCCATTCAGAACGGAGCAAAGGCATCATACAGTATGTGGTGGATTACTCGCTGATGCTGGTCACAGGAAAGAGATATTCGAGCTGATATCGGCAAGGCATCGCAGACTCCCATTAGAAGTGGGGTTAGGCAGCATGTTACCATTTCTCGTATTCTGTAGTTTCATCCCACATGGAGATGGAGAGCTATTGTATTGTGTCATCCCAGATAGTCTCGCCAAATATATCCCGTCAATCACTTCGCTTGTGCTCCTCTCACTGTTCATTGTTCAGCTGATGGCAGTTAGATAATAGTTCTACTTGTACAATAGCAAATGAGCCCTGAACAATACACCCTGTGAGCTTGACCCAAGCGTCACTAGGCATCCGCTCAACGAGGCTAGGTTCAGGTATCACCTCGATGCGGCAGACCTGGCCATAGACCTATATCAAGTGCAGATACATAAATGTGATAGTCAAAAATGTCGCAGGATAATTTAAATGAAAGAATATGACGAGAAATGGTATGAAAAACTCGGCAGAAGAAAAATGGAAATAGAAAAAAGGAAGTGCGTTAGCTGGGAGTCGAACCCAGATCTATTGCTTGGAAGGCAATAATGCTAACCGCTACACCACTAACGCTGCTGTTATGTAATTCTGCTTCAGACAATAAGTTATAAGCAGAAATCTATAAACTGTTATAGCTGCTATATTTCTGGTGTTAAATGTTGTTAAATATTCTTCGAGAACTCTGCTGCTCCTCTTCACATACATATGCGAGTAGCAGGACTATTCAATTTATAATAGCTTTGAGTATCGATGCCCTGGTCAGGCTGGTCAGGAAGCAAGAGTTGGCTCCGGGGCAATATATGTTCACCCTGACCTCCACTTCAGAACAATTCCACAGGTGTGTTTCATTGACTCTAAGTCTGGGTAGTAATATGGTGTATCTGAAGACAGACCTTCATCAACTACACAGGTACGATATAAGAAAGATATCTGAAATACTGAGCTGTACCTGGAGGTCTACAGACCCCAATCTAGAATATGAGGTCAATCTCTTAGGAAATTCATTGAGACAACAAATAGTAATTTACTCGCCTGGACGAGTTTATTAATGCGCGGTAGAACAACTAATATCAAATGACGGAAAGGAAAGTAGACACTGCACTACATCGCAGCCCAAGCTGCATCCAAAATCAAGCATGGGGAGGCATGGGGAGGCATGGGGAGGCATGGGGAGTTCACCAGGCACTTTTGTGACCCAGGGTGATTTACTATTGTCATATCTCAGTCTCGCCCCGCGGCGGAATTGAATGGCCTCTATGAGTCCCGGACGCCGGTAATTTCTAGAGTAGGACTCTGAGGAGTCTGGAAAGCATTGGATGTGGCATTGGCTGGCCAGGAGATGGAGACTGCTGCGGTAGAGGAGTCGGTTGCGATGTCGGTTGTGGCGTCGCCGTGGCGGTAGGAGGGTCTAATTCAGTGAGATAACAAGCTCACTGCCAGAAGATGAATCTGTGGCTGCGGCGAAAGTAACATACCAGCGACACCGACGCAGACATAGTAATCTGGCAATAAAGATTGGCATGAAGTTGGCTTCACAGCGGGGTTCCACAAATAGAATTGGTCCAAAGATATTCCATATTGATTTGCAATGGCCCAACAGTTGTCACCTGGCACCACCTTGTGATACTTATTGCCTGTGGCAAGCAAGATTGTCAGAAGCAGTTCGCGGAAAGACATCATAGCTGGGCTTAATTCGGACTTACAGTTTGCTGGAGTACCCGACAGCACCGGTCCAGGGGGATTGGTGGGTGTAGCCACTGGGGGTTCCTCTTCCTGAACGCCGATGCATACGTAGTAATCGGGGTATAGGGCCTCGCAGGAGTGCCCAACCGATCTTGTCCATCAATGTCAATATTGTCTTGTCTCCTGAGTGGTCGAACGGACTTACGGGTTCCAGCGGTAGAAATCGTAGATCGAAAAGTTACCGAAGTTGTTTATGATGGACCAGCAACTGTCGCCCTTGTTAACTTTGTAGAAAGCATTGCAGTTGGCAGCCAAGCCGCCCTGCGTGGGAGAGGGCAGATCCGCAGCCTCAGCTACAGTTGCCATGTCCATACGACTCGCTTCTTCGGCAGAATATGCCGACCGCATCGTCAATTCTGAGGCAGCAACACAGTAGGAATGGCCAATTTGAAGTCGACAGTTCTCCTTGAGAGAAGGGTTCTTGAAGTCGCCGTCAGAATCAACGGCTAGAACATGTGTGGTCTAGTACTCACCCAGTTCACCAGCTCTTCCCTTGAGATGTCGAAGTACTCCTCTAGGTCAGCGCACTGGTCATTCTTTGCAACATCATTCACCCAATAGCTGCAGGTTTTAGCAACGCTTGGATCGGTTGGGCCAGTCGGAGAGATGCTGGACGGCCACCTCTTCACGACAGCCGAGTTGGCTGCACTTAGGAAGAGGATTTGAACAATGAGGATCGAGGTAAGTCCCATCTTGAGCCACAGTTATTGATTGTGTTGTGAAGACAGAGATCATTCAGATTTTCGAGAGAATTTATACCTTCCAAGGTCACGTTGTCAGTGCTGAAGCGAAGCTGGATTGCTTGATGTCGATGGAACTTCAGGATGCATGAACCCTTCGTGACACCGCATATCAAGCACAAGCACATACTAGGGACATTGTATGCGTAGGGACTAGAAAATTTCAGACTACTCTGAGTACTGCAAAGCGTAGCGCTTAGTCATTGTTTGTCGTCTTCTTCGGTGAAGTTGCGCAACGTGGGAGCTCCATCTTCCGTGGGCTTAATCTCCCAGAGAGGTTCGCCATCGTCATCAAATTCGGCCCACTGGAAAAAAGTGCAACCTTTCTTTCCAGGATCATGTCCTGCATAGCACATCCACATATATCTACCCTTGTTCTCACGTTTGCGTTGCACACATCGCAAGATGGCATGTGTGCCACAACGGCACCGCGGAATGTTACGCGGGTGGAGGGCATCCCGATACCATCGATAGGTGATGTTGATACGCCGGTTACCTGACAACGGATGTGGTGAAACAGTTTGCGCGGGTGCAATAGCATGTTTCCATTCTTCCTGCATCTCAGCGTGCATAACAAGGAGGGAATTGTGTGGAAGGTGTATGGAGATTTGGCCCTGCGCATCAGCACGGATATCGATCCCCTTCGACGTGGCTTTCCGTTTGGACGGAGAATCCGCTGTCGACCCCCTGGCTGACACTTCACTATCGTTCCCTTCATCGTCATCGCTCGCCACGATGCGTCGCACCCGAAACTCTCTTTCCACGCCTAAGCTCAGACTTCCAATAATAGCTCGCGGACCAAGGTAAGTCAGCTCATCCGAGTGGTAGCCCACACTTTCTGCTGGACCATCATAGCAGTTGACGAAAGCTGCATTTGGCACCCATTCCTTAGGCGACTGATACTTGAGCTTTTTCCCATCTGGGTAGCACGTTTGTATACGCTTCTGAATCTCGTCGTTGACTGCGCGCTGAACTTTGGCAGAGACGGCGCGCAAGTATGGCGTAAGCTGGCGCACGTTCGAACGGTATATGCCTCCATAGGTGTATTCCGATGTTTGCTGTCGAATCTCTTCCGGGGTCGAGACGTACAAGCTGCTCGTGTGAGGACTCTCAACTGTACGATCAAACAGCTGAAACCTGTACCTGGAAAAGTGCTTCGACTCATCCAGAAGTTCCAGTAGTAGTGCATCTGCTTCATCTGGGGGCAAGAAATTATGGATGATGGTACACGGAGTATGAGCAGCAACATCTTCTGGAGAGAAAAGATGTAACGTCCTTCCTTTCCGTGTGAGTTGTCTTTTTGGTGGCAATCCTGCCTCGGTTGTGATATGTGAGGTCATAGATGTCTGGATCGCTGATACACCACTTGCTCGCTTTTTGACTGGTCTATATGCGCGTTGAGCAGTGATTACGGCAGACGCGTCTTCAACAGACCCGCCACTTGAAGTGAGAACGTCCAGCAAAGCATCTTGTTCTATGTCTGGAAAGAGCGATAGGAGTATCGCCAATTTCATATCGGTGGAATCCTCATCAGGGGACGGCGTCTGCTGCGTAGCGGGAGCACCCAGCCGAGGCCGCTTTCTCGAGATGAAGCGATCCATTCGGCAGCCATCTGATTTCAGGATGAGCCGAAGATTATGTTCTGGTGCTGTAGAAGGCGAGGATAACACGAACCTACAGACCTGACTAATTCGTATAACGGCACGTGATTCCTTTCGATATGACCAATCAGAATGCTTTTTTCCAACAGCATCTAATTATTCACCGTTTATGGCGTTCTTCTAAACAGTTTCGATATACACTATCAATTTCGTGCCTAACTCCAGTTACCGTTACCCAAGTAGACCTGACCAGATTTATGATAGTCTGCCAGACTTCTTCCCCGTCGCAGACCGTCATATACCTCCACGAGTGCCGACAATGCCACTTTTGTCCAGCCAGGATAATCTTCTTTTGCTGGCTTCGAGTCACGACGGTGTAAATCAGGAAAGTTCTCCTCTATGACCTTGACCGGGCAACTGGAGTAGTCCGCGTCCTTCTCCACCATGGACGACATATCTACGGTCGTTGCGAGATGCGACAGCACTCCATCATCTATCATCAAGCACATCCGCAATCGGACAGGGAGTTCTATCGCTGGCAACGCTAGAGCTACCTTCCAATCATGAAAGGCTTCCTGGACAGTCTCCTCATCAACGCCGTGGTATTCCTCCTGAGAGTTGAACACTTTCGAGGCGTATGTTGTTTCGAGGAGACGGATCTGTTCCGGGCTTCCTGGTAGACATCTCGAGAGGGCTTTCTGAATTTCTTCGTTGAGTGCTCGGAGGAATATTGGTATCAGCCGCTGTGAGTCTGGCGCATATGTCGTGCGATACACGATGGGACCCCAGGTGAGGGTGAGGAAATCGCGTTCCGGGCCAGGAGGAAGGGATCGGAGTCCAGGTTCTGACCCGAGGCGATAGACCTCTTTTTGGAGAAACATATTGGCAGGGGAGTGCCAATGCTCAGGTTCTGTCATTTTCAAAGCTAGCCACTGGATTTATTAAAACTTATAGATTAGCATTCTCAAAAGGTGATCAGTATTTATCGATCAGTCAGTATGTGACTGAAGTGAAGCTTCTGCCGATTCAAGAGTCATTGTCGTCAGAGTGACATCGTTGAGGACAAACAGTGCGCAACAACAAACGGACGGTCGTTTGAAGCAAATATTTGTTTATTGCTGTAGATCAAAGGACAATTTTCCGTCCTGAAGCTGTTCTTGCAGCGGAGACTAAACATCAGGGAATGACGATGTTGGGATCTGCTTTGTTCTTCACTAAATTAGCTCCCCATCAGACCTCGGTTCTTCGCATGCGATCCTCCCCGCAGTCTTCAACTTCATCCCTTCAACGTCCTGCTGCATTCATAATGATACCCTCATGACCGGTCCTTTCTTCGGTTTATTTTAATTCTTTTTTTCCGAAGACTATACCCCTCTTTTTCCACTATGCTTCATTTCCGCACCGAGGGCTACAACGGCTGTGCGGTCAAGTACTCCCCATTCTTTGACAACCGGTTGGCCGTCGCCGCGTCGGCCAATTTTGGGCTGGTAGGAAATGGCCGGTTGTTCATTCTGGAGCTGACGCCGAATGGCATCGTACCTTCCAAATTGTGTGTCTCATTGTCGACTGATTCTCAACCGGAACTCATATTGACAAAGTCACCAGGTTTACTACACAGGATTCTCTTTACGATCTCGCCTGGTCCGAAATCCACGAGAATCAAGTCCTCACAGCCTCCGGCGATGGCAGCATTAAGCTCTTCGACTGCAATTTGGAAGACTTCCCCATCCAGAACTGGAAAGAACATAATCGCGAGGTCTTCAGTGTCCACTGGAATCTCGTAGCCAAAGATACATTCTGCTCGAGCAGTTGGGACGGCACCGTCCGCGTCTGGTCGCCGCATCGGCCGCATTCTCTTTTTACCCTCCCTACACATAGCTGCACCTACTCGGCGGCGTTTTCGCCTCATTCTCCCGATATACTCTCCTGCGTCACGTCCGACTCATACGTCCGCATCTTCGATCTTCGCACGCCCGCCTCCGCATCTAACCACCTCACCCTCCAGATTCCCATCCATGCTGCACCGGCATCGCCCATTCCCGGTAAAGCCGGCGTTCCTCCTGCCGCATGCGCTCCGGCCGAAGCCCTCACCCATGATTGGAACAAATACCGACCGTCCATCTTAGCGACCGCAGGCGTCGACCGCACCATCCGGACCTTCGACATCCGCGCCCCACAGCAGGGGCCTCAGGTGGTGATGACGGGACATGAATACGCGGTCAAGAAAGTGGCCTGGTCGCCACACCTTTCTAATATACTACTTAGCGGTAGCTACGATATGACCTGTCGCGCATGGAGCGATCAGTCAACTGCGGGACCTATGGGGGATATCGATCCCATGCGTGGCGGTCCCGGCGGCCCGGTAATGGGCATGGAGCTTGGGCGTATGAATCGGCATACCGAGTTTGTCACAGGCGTTGACTGGTGTCTTTTTGGCAGTGAAGGATGGTGTGCGAGCGTAGGGTGGGATGAGAACCTGTATGTTTGGGATGTGCGAGCAGTGATGGGATAAAGATGCTGTGATCTATCGCTTCTCCCCTTCCACCTATCCTGTATTGGTTATATAGATTACCACGAGATACCATTATGACATGTCTGCGGGACAGCAACTTCAGGTTTCCCAAAGAAATTAGACAAGTGTGAACAAAATATTTCCTGCAATTTTGTTTCTCGTCAAGCCACGAGTTCTCCGATGACGAAATGATCGATATACCTTATATGCAAGACGCTCTATTTCAAGACATGACTCGCCAAATATCATCAAAGCCTGCTGTTTGCAGTCCAAGTTCAAGCCGCTTCCACAATCACCATCACGTTATATCCACGATCTATCCATTTTTGGGTACGAGGCCCGGGTATAGGTGGTAAAAGCCGAGAGTTGCATCCTGGAGATAAGCACGTCCTGCTCGACGATGCTCAACAAAAAGCCGCAAGAGCGGAAGGAAGGGTTGAGAAAGTTTAGGGATGGGGAGGAAGACCAGCTTATTTACTAGCCAGTCTCGCCTCCACCTTCCTTCTCTCAGCCTCCTTAGCAGCAGCAATCTCTTCCCGACTAGCGTCAAAGGACACATGCACCTGGTTGAACGGGTTCTCCTCGCTCTTGTCAAACTCCTTCTTGCAGAGCTCGACGCGCTGCTGCCTCCGCAACCCGGGGTTCTCCTTCTCAATCTCTGGCAACCGGCGCGCCTCATACGCCGCATACGCCGCTTTGTAACGGCGCTCGGGGTGACGGTCGACCTTCGACGAATCCTTGCTGGTCAGGGAGAGCGCATCCAGCGCATTATCGATACCAGTGGCGTTGAGAGCAGCGCCCTTGCGGCTGGCGGGCTCATCATCCAGCTGCGCCAAATCCAGACCGCGCGTCTTCTTCTGAGCTTGCTTGGCGCCGGCACCCTTGGGCTTGGAGGGTAGCGAGGCTTCTTCGGCGGCGAGGAGGGCCTCTCGCTCGGCCTTCTTGCGAGCGGCTTCGGCTTTCTTGGCTTCTGCTTCTTCCCTATATTTTGCAGATAACGTTAGCAAGCCGCTACTTAATCTATCACGCGAATGTCGGCGCTCACTTCTTCGAGTTGCCCTTTGCGCCCTTCTGCCACTCCTTGTCCTCCTCGGCGGCTCGCTTGGAATCTTCGGCCGCTTTCTTGCTTGCGGCGGCTTCGGCTTTCTGTATGTAGATCGTGGATCGTCAGTCTCAACATTCCTTAACCTGATATAGAAAACATGCTCGTGGCGATGGCAGAAAAAAGGCGGGGGCGGGGTTGGGTTGAGTTACATACACGAGCCTGTCCGGCTGCTTTCTTGGAGTTTTCTCCACCGGCTTTCTTTCCTCCCATTTTGAGCGCAGACTATAATTCAAGTGTGAAGCCTTTTTGAGGGACGTGCGAAGGGAAGCAGGAAAGTTGCGCTTGATTTGGGTTGTTGTGATGGCGAATATCCTATGGATACTTTTGCGGTTCCGACCGACGGCGGTGACTCAATGACTAAGCAGTTTGTAGGGCTGACGTAGCTGACATGTGATTCGGAAAGCCCTCTAGAGATTCGATGGGTTTCGAGATCTATGGAAGTGCTTCATTGATTTAAATTCATTTCAGGAACTTTAACATGGTAAGTATAGCAGACAAATGATTGACAACCTGTGGTTCAATATGCCAAATTATCTCAAACAAACATTGAATGCACGCTCTGAACGGGGAAAGATGAACAATTAAGGAACAAACTCCACATAGATCCATAAGCATCGCAGTAATCGAATCCATCATGTCGTGTCATCATCAGTATCTTGTCAAAATATCTTTCAAATTAATCAGTCAGATCATCTTAGGAGCCTCGGAAGTCTCAATGGCCCCATCCGTTCGCGCGATTGTCTCCGTCTCATCCTTTGGTAGCCTCATTACCGGACTCGTGGGTTCAGATCGCCCAATCAGCAGGTATAAGCTTGCAGGAGACGTTTCCATCCCCTGCGAACTAGCTTTTGAACTTTCTGGATCAGCAACGCTCTTGGAAGATGCTGTTTTGGAAGATGCTGGAGCAACAATCCGAGGTGTGGGAGGAGCAGTGTTGGAGGACGATACAGTAACAGACTCAGAAGCCGCTGAAGGAGTAGCCTGAGAGGTTTTCGAGCCGGTTTCTTCTCTCACAGTTTCTTTTTGAAGGGTGGAAGTTTCAACAGTCATGGCAGGTTCTGCTGCCGTTAAGGAGAGCATAGTAGAAAAACTGGGCTGTTCTGTCCAGCTTGGAGTGGTTTGTTGCTCCAGTGAAACGGTAGATGAGAGTGCAGACATGGATTCGAACATATCCCCAGGAAATGGTCGAAGGTGTGAAGAGGAGGATTGAGGTTTGACCCCAAGGGCAAGGTATACCGCCAGCACACTCAAAAGGACAATTGTCACGTTGCGACGGTCACTAGCAAGGACCCGGATATAGTTGATGAGCAGCGTTTGCAGGTCGATTTCTTCAACTGACCTCGGGGAATACGTTGAAGGCGGCATGACTGGAGCCTTCGCTGGAGTTGTGATTCCTGTGGCAGGAGATGAGGGACGGGCAGGCTCCTCAGGAACAAACGACCTCGGTTCATGAATGAATGGGGTAGGTGTATTGGTGCGCGACGACTGATCATACAGCTCTGCACCGATGCTAGTTGCGGGCTCCCTGAGTTGCGGCACCTGTAGCCTAAGATCAGTGCTAGGGGGATCATTGTCCAAAAGCCGCTTTTCCAGCTCCCGCCTAATCTCAGACGGGAGCCAAAGGCCGACTTCAACATCCACCTTTTCCATCTCCTTCCAGGCCGCAGCCCAGGCACCAGCTCTCATCAGCCCGTTCGCAGCGAAGACCTTGATCTCCCACTTCCTACTTGAATCGTGCCTAGGGAATCGTCCACCACAATCAGGGCACTCTTCGCCTTGCTCGTCATCAGTTGCACTATCCTCTGTGGCCGACTGATCACCTTTCTCTGAAGCCGTGTCCTCATGTCCCAAAAAGTGGCCATGATGGAGCCGCGGGCGCTGAAGTTCCAGGCTTTCCAGCAATCGTTCCTCAAGCAGATCATACATATCCTCCGGATGCGAGATGAGCACACCTCGGTCACGGAGCACACCGGAACCAACCTTCTCCTCTAGCAACTTCCATCGCCTCCAGTACTCCGGAGGCAGCACCTCTCTCAGGGTCTTCTGGTCCGGGTATCCAATCAAACCTGGCACAGGCAGCGAAGGAGGAAGCAAGGTGCAGTGAAGCAAAACAAGCGGATACTCCTTCTTAACTTTCTGTCTCCCCGTAGACCCGGTAGGCGAGTAATAAGGCGATCGCTTAAGTGGAGACGAGCCCGCCGAACGAATTGAGATATCCGACATCCGATGTCCGCCCCGCCGCTTGGGCGGAGTCAGGAACTCATCGTCATCCTCATCCTCAGTGTGCATCTGCATTGCACGCACAGAGCTGGGCTTCCGGAACGCAGCCTCCCGTTGCCTGATCGTTTGTATGGACTTGAATTGTGCCTCCATTTTGCCATGACCGGGGTTATCCTGATTGATCCAGGGGTGGCGGATTCGCTCATCTGCGCCGCAGCCGATTACAGGTTTCAGCTCGCTTGGGGGGTGGATCAGCACCGAATCGGGGATTGAAGAGATTGAAGACCGACTGGATGCACGCGAGTCCCGTGGAGCTAAGTCGTCATCGTCCAGATCATGACCAGCTATGTCGCTCGTGGAGAGTTGCGTTGAGGATTCCGAGGAGTTGTACCCACAATCCCGAATTGACATATGGGCATCGTCGCTGAATTGTCTTTCTTCGTCGCGATGTGGTGAATCTTTGTCGGAAGCTGCACTTGTCACGTTGAAGGGGCCTAGTCCGTCTGCTGAAGGGCTTGAGCCGAAAGGCGGTTCGTTTGCAGTGAAATTGGCAAATGCAGTCAAATGAGGGGCGTCGGATATATCCTCCATAATAAAGACATGGAATGCGCAAGGAACCAGTATCGAGAGTAGGTCTCTAATCAAGAATGTGTGCGCTGTTGGTTGACGTTAATGATGAGGAATGTGACTTATTGGACGGAAGTATAAGTAAACAACGCTGCTAAACCTGCAAATCATCAACAGAAAAGATTTGAGGATGGAGATGCATAACTGTTCTCTTGGATATAGAGCAGATGGAATAAATTGAGCATGGCTTTGATAAAGAAACGGTCATCCTTGCAACAACCACCTGATGAGTTGTTGCTGGTGTTTTCATCCTCTGGTTGTGCAGGGCAACCATGCATGGAGAGATGGCGGTCTACCCTACTTTAGTGGCTGGTCAACCTCCTAGATCAGCACTGCTTGGCGCAAGGCTTCGTTCGATAAAATGAAAGCTCCATAGTGGAGATTAATTTATTATCTGACATGGTCTTCTATTCAATTTGAGAATTTCCAAAGGGGAATAGCAGTTGAGCTTCTAGCCATAAAAGCAAGGCCATCTGCATGCTCAGCGCTCACTCCAAGTGATGCTCGAGTCTCTTGAAATTGGCCAATGGGCTCAACTTAGAATAAAACTTTTGGATTCAGAATATAGATACAGAATGGGATCAATATGCTGCCGCAAAGGTAATACAGATTGTCCCAACTGAGACAGTTACAATGCATGACCAGGGTTTCGTTTGAGAATTCCTTCATAAATGCTTGCTCGCTGAATGGAAGCGTAAGGCTGATGGAAAACGACGTAAATAGCAGATTATGCCGAATTAGAATGCAGATGCAACGACAAGACGTCGGCAATGACTTTCTTTCACTCAATCATGACAGAAGGTGACAAAATCCCGGTCATATATTCATACAGTCGTCAGATGTACGCAACAAAAGTGGACATAAATTCATTCCGAAGTCTGGGTGTGATTTTCGTCTGCGCTCATCAGAGGGGGGTAATTTTGTTGTTCCTCAAAGTAATGAAGGACATCTTGTGGTAGATATTCAAGGTAAGGTAGAATTTCACCATTGAAAGGGAATGGAAAGTGCTCTTGTTGTTGGAGAGCATTCATATCGACATCCTGGCTTTCTATAAAGACCCCACCGAAGTTCGAGCCGATGTTCGATTGTAAATGGGTCGATTGTGGATTTAAATGGCTGCTACCTGCATGCCGTTCGCTCTGTGCAGACGCCGTGCTGTAACTGTAGTGAGAGGTTTGCGGTTGCAGTTGAGACGAGGACGAAGAGGTAAGGCCTTGGGTGTAAGTTGGTTGAGTATTCGATGTGCTATCGGTTGAAATAGAATATGATGTGTTTAGGCCCAGTAGAAGATTGGCATCGGAAGCGGCAACACGTCCAGGAGGAACAAGTGAACCATATCTTGCGGGTCTATTAGGAATTGATGAAGATCGTGTCCCGTCTGAAGCCCGTGTCGTCTGCAGATACGAGCTCGAACCTTGCTCCGGTTTAAACTGCGCCGGTAGATTGGGGTAGCTGTGACTATACTGAGAAGAATAGGTAGGTCTACTTGTGTCATAATCGGCTTGGGAAACTGGCATCTGGTATAACAAGCTGAAATTTGGTTGCGAAGAGTTGGTGGCTCCAGTAAGAGCCCATCCAATGGCTAGGAGAAATACGTTAGCTGTCACATTTTGAGAAGCGGCAATATATCATGATTGTTATACCTTGGCCCGGGTCAATCCTCGGTGACATTCTGCCTTCTGTTGCAGCACTTGCATTCAATGGTGGCTTTGCTTGTCGGTAGGTGGGAGCAGCGGAGGGCGGAAGTGGAAATGTCTCAGTTGCATTTTCCATCTCCTCTTCAGTGTAGAGTAGTGGATCAACGATACCCTTAGCCTTCTGATCTAGAACGGTTAGAATATACCTAGTACCCTCCCAATATGTCTCAAGTGCCTTGAGGGCTTTATAGCACCGCTGGTAGTTTTCTCGGGCGGCGGAAGCGAGAAGTATATGCTTAGCGCTCGACTTCCGTTCCGAAGAAGAGTCCATGTTTGGCATCACGAAGCCACTAGACTGGTCATTGAGAAGCGGCTGACACGGAGGGGAACCCGATCTCGAAGGGGGCGATGAATAATATGCGCTCTCCATGAGAAAAGCGCAAGCAGCGATGTACATTGGCTGACTCGTGAATGGATTGCCGATAAAGCTCTTCCCATCAACAAGCTCAGAGAAAGATAGAATATCGGCTATTGTCTTAGCTGAGGACATCGACAATTCCCTGCTGTTTGGGTAGAGATGTTGTATTGTACCGCCGAACGAATTCAGGAGAGTGGGTTGGTGAAGAAGGACGATGAGGGTGTGAAACCACTTCATGCACGTTAGATCAAGAGCCGAGACGATGTAGATGTCGGAAATGGTCTTACAAAATGGAGAAGTATGAAATT